CATCTTTAAATCTTCACTGGAATCTTTTGAAGTGAGTAGCTTTCATTCAATCTCTGATTTTTCCTTTTTAAAGAAAGTTGTTGAGAAAGTGGTTGCCCTACACTCCAGAGCATCCTGGATAAAATAAACCTTCTAGACCCCTTTTAGGTCTAGAACTGTTCTGTTTGCACTAGTAGATGAACTCTGACATAATCAAAAGCCATTTCGTGATCATATAATTTCTTTATACCACAATTAAAATATAAGTCAAATACTTAGCAGGAGTATGCAAATCATAAATAGGGTTGGTTCCTTCTAAACTGTTGTTCAACTCCATCAATTGTACTAGAATACTACCATCAATAACTGAAAACCTAATACACTTACCCCCAAATTAAGACCCACAGGAATCAAAATATTGGCACTGGGACCTTTCTCAAGCAAGGATTACTGATACATGAGAGGTAGGATGAATCAATGTAACCCAATGATTAATTAGATAAAGCCCTGTGTTAACCAAAAATGTAGAAAAGAAAGGCAACCCTATCTGGTTAAATATTAAGCAGTCTGCTGTGTTTGTTTCCAGCATTTAGTTACACTTTATCTGATAACCTAGCTAAAGGAATTTAAAACTAAAAACAAAATATATGAGAAAGGTCTTATGTCTGGAGGCTAGGGTGTTTGTTTGTTTTTAGAATAATAAGACAAATTGGGAAGCAGCTCCCTCAAACAGCCGTCATCATAATCTAATGTATTCATGTGCATTGCTAAAGCTCTATGAATTGTTCATGTTCTCTGTGCTGTACTGGCTTTTACATAAGTAATTGTTTAAGTTCATAGTTGCACATTACTAATTTATATCATTCATGCTGCAAATTCAGGAAACAGAAACAAAACAAAGCCAACAACAAAAGGAAAAACACTAAACCACTCTATTTCATTTTTGCTCAATTACTTTAAAGAAAAAAATAATAAAGTAGACAAACCATTTTATGTTTCTAGGAAAACTAATGCCAATATGGTGTATAGAAAAACTAAAAAATTAAAATATTTGCTTCTTAAGAAATGCAACTCTAAATGATTAGTCACATCAGGAACGGGAGTTTATTTATGGAAGACCAAAACAAAAGCAAACAATTGCTAAAATGTACAAACCTTGTCGAAATTTGGAACAGAAGATAAACAAATTAAAAGATATATGATAAAATGGACTAAGAATTTTGGTTACAGATGGATCAATGGGAAAATGTATGATTTCAAGAGTTGATATTTGCACTGTATTGTATAGATCTCAGAGAAGGTTTACAAAATAATGTATCATTGGTACACAATAGCAATAGCATTTAGACTTCACAGTGCTTTATAGCCCTCTCTAAGCAGTTTACAGAGTCAGCATATTGCCCAACAATCTGGATCCTCATTTATCTGACCTCAGGAGGACGAAAGGTTGACTCAGCTTTGAGCCAGTCAGAATCGAACTCCTGGCAGTGAGCAGTGAGTTAACCTGCAATATTGCATTCTAACCACCACACTACCACAATGTCAGAGAAATTATCTAGATTATAAAGGCACTTCGAATGCATGTTGGAATTGTAAATAACATGAAGGAACATTTGATCATGCTTGATGGGACATGTAAAAAAGTCAAACAATTTTGGATCCAAATACATACTCAACTGAACTTAAAAATCCATATTCAACTGAATCTAGAACTTTTCCTTTCAGTGTTATTGAAAAACAGAAAAAAGCCATAGAATATTATTTTAATAAATTATCATAGCAGTGAGATTACTGAATGGATAGAAATGGAAAGATTTAGTACTACCCACTATGGAGGAATATTTGGTGAAGTTGACAGATTTTGCTGAAATGAAAAACTTAACTTATTTGATTAAAAAAAAGACATTATCTACATATATCGCTGACTGGAAGCATCTTACAATGTTTTTGTGTAAAAATGAAAAAAAAGAATGTTGCTTATGGCTTGGATGATTAGACAGGATGGATTATAGAAAGAACAGTAATATGATATAACTTGAGAGAAGAGGTTAAAATATATTTGAGTTATAACTTATAATTTCCTTATACTTTATTCTATTTTTAATTTTTTCTTGCACCTTTTTCTTTTTCTTTACTTTTATTTTTTATTCTTTAGTTTACATTAGTTTGTGTTGACTTTTACCTTGTTTAAAAATTAAATATAAAGAAGAACAAAAGCAGGACATCACTTGAAAGAGAATAATCAGACCTGTCCTAATTCTTTAACACAATCATAATAGCTAAGGTAATAAATAAAGGCTGAGTTCTGGCTTCTTCTTTGTTTAACATTTATATGAATTATCTTTTAATTGTATATAGAAGCTAGATATAGATGAAACTTAGAGGACAATTCAAGTTCCATCCCTTTTACTTATATACAATGGAAACACCATCTGTGAAAAAGGAGCAAGGTTTCAACTGCCAATCACACCTGCTATTTTGACACTGTTCTAGGAGAGAGATTGGTTGTGAGAGAAAGAGAGAGAGAGGAGTCCAATGGGGAATTAGTCTGGAATCTCTACATGGGCACAAGAGGGTGAAGTCCAATCCCCCTTGAATGCCAGTTGAACCATAGCTAGCCTTTCCCAGGTGCAAACCATCAGTTTGAGACAGTTTATAGGTTGAGCAATAAAAAAGATAGTTGAACTTTTCACACATGAGCATGGTTTTTCATGCCTGACAGTTGCTGACATCTCCACCACCCTACCTGAAACCCATTGTTCTTTGAACTGATGCCTTTCAAAGTCTGAAATCTATATCTAAATAGAATCCACAGTCAGCACAGCCATCCACCCTGACTGAAAATTTTGATAGTTGAAATACACCACCGTGTTGGGGAAGCTCTCTGAACTGATGAAAGGAAATTAAAAATATTAGTGGCAACTTTTTTTTAAAGTACCCCCCCTACCCTCTACAACAAAAGCCATGTAGAAAATTAGACTCGTGTTTTTCAAAGAATAAAATAGTCATATAGCCACACTTGAAACTGTGTATTTCTTCATCTAAGTTCTCTCCCACCAAAGGGCTTTCCTTCATGTTTAAATAATGTAGTGCAATACAATGCCAACAGGTGCTTTATGTGTTGAAAACAGATCAGAGCTCAAAGTGGTTGGATGGGATTGAAGTGAATTGGTACCATGAATCACCCTTATGCCTGCAGCACAGAAGCTGAAGTAACTGTGTAATTCAAGATTAATGTTGGAAGGAACCAATAGTTTCAGATTCACAAATTGACTTGCTTTATTCATAACAATAAAAAGCTAAAGAAGGAAGCATAAGAAAAGGCATTGTTTTAAGTAGTGTGGATAAAACTGATATCTGAAGCAGCTGGGAACATCCATCATGGTAAAGAAGAAAAGTGAATTACAGATCATTATGGAAGATGGTTTGTATACTTTCCAGTATTTAGCAGTATTCAGTGTATCCTGCATTTAGCATCTTAGAAAAAAAGTAATTTGTATCGGTTTCACGTTCAGTTTTCAAAGTATATTTGATATCACTACACAGAAAAACTTGATTAATTGCACATTTTTAGAAATATCACAAAAAATACATTTTAAAATTCAGATCAAGCCAAATTGATGACAAGAAAAAGCTTCTTTTTTCTTTATTAAGGTGATAACAACAAATGTGATGGTTGATTTTGCTTTGCAGTTGGGATGGAGATTGATGGACAAGTGGAGAGTGACACAGAAAGTGAAGGTAAATAAAATATGAATAGCTGCTGTTTTTGAAAAGTGTATGTTAAAGAATTTATTTTCCTGAGAATGCATGCAATGCATATAAATTGAGATCTACCAACATTCATCTAAGCATTGTTCAAATTACTGTCAGTGTTTCCACACTTGAATAAAAACAAATCTGGACTTTATATAGAACTTAACTTTTTCTTGAATATTTTGTTAAAGGCTGAGGCAAAAAACAATCTTAATTAACAAAATCACTGATGTTAAGTAACCTTTAAGTTTAAGCATTCAGATTATAAGTAGGGTTCTTGAAATGTAAAATTATTGCAATTTCAACTTCAGCTTTTGCTTCAATGCTGCCCATCAAAGAAATTTGACAATTCCCTAAGAGTAGTTGATACCAATAGACTTCTCTAACATTTCGTTTTTCCTCACACTGAACTTAAAGGCTTCAAAAAATCTGATGAACCGTAAAATGGAATTAAAAAGTTTGAGATTTTAGTATCCCTTTGCTGCCATCTAGTGGTTATCTGTATTTTTGCAGTTCAGATGGCAACTGACTAATCTTTCAGTTTGTGAATTGTTAAATTGATATTAGGAGAAATAGAAGGACAGAGCTGCAGTTTTCAGGAAAATTTATTCGTTTTTACAATATAATAGCCCATTATATTTTATACTGTCAGCTATTTTTCTGCAGTTTAAAAAGCAAAATGAAATATTATTCTCTCCTAATCCATCAAATACATCACTAATATATTCCAGGATATCACTCTTAAGTCATTATCAATGCCTAAGTATCACTATTATGTTTATAATTTACACAGAAAGGGGATGGATTCAGATATATGAATAATTTAAATTCCATTGATTTCAATAGTTCTTTTCTAAGTAGCAGTAAGTTTGGATCTTGCAAAGTACAGCATTTTGAAAAGACTGAAAAGAAAAGTCATTATTTTACATTTACAAAACATTTGCATTTATCTAGTGAAAGACAATATTTTAATAACTTCAAACTCTTCAGGGTTTTTTTTTAAGTAAAACACTTTTTAAAACACAGATTATGAGTATGAAGAAGAAGAAGAGGAAGAGGAAGAAAAAGTAGCCCCCAAAAAGAATATAAAGGAAATCGCCAAGGTAAACAGAAAAGCGGGTTATGAAAAAGATACTGATGATGAAAATGAAGAGCTAGATGTATCCAGGAGGAAGAAACCAAATAAAAAGAAAAAACAGAAAACATATAATGATAACGAAGAAAACAAAGAGGAGGAAACAGTAAAAGGGAAGACAAAGAAAGACAAAAAGCAAAAAGAGTTTGAAAACAAGAAAGCAAAAGGAAAGGACAAGAAAAACAAGAAAAATACAGGTGAAAGGTATGACATTTTCATTATTCCCCAGATCAAAAATCCACGTTTGTTCTTAATAGTTAGCATTTTGTATATGAGTACAATGGAAAATAATATATTTCCCATTCATTTCACTGACTGGCAAATTACTGGTTTCTAATTCTGCTATCAAAATGCATCAAAATACTATGCAATGAAGCTCAGTGAAAGACATGTAATTATGTTCTGTGTTTGAGCAATCTGGCACAAACCAAACAGCTCATCTGAGAGTTGTCAGGATAATTTATGTTTTTCCCCAGAGTAGCTCTCTGAAACTAAAAACAATTTGTGGAGTTCTAGACTGCATCAAATTACCATGGAAATGCATTAACACAGCTTCAATCCCAGAAACTCATAATGTTTAAGCATAATTTGAAAGTTCTGTACTGTATTCAGATATTCCAATCCCATAATCCCAATCCGTAGGCATTATAGGAAGAGAATCATGTCTGTCAATAGTGGTCAAGTGAAAAACTGTTAAATTTACATATTCAAAAGGTTTCAAACTTCCTCTACAAAAACACAATGGATTTTTAACACATCACAACTGTTAACTGATATTTGTATTTTGTCTCACATGTAACTTACTGTATGCCTGCATAACCAACTGTTTCCCTGTTCTTCTCCACCACTTCATCTCAATTTAAATTTTACATCAGTTTAATCATTCCACTGACTCTGATGAAGTGAGCTAAAATTCTCAAAAGCTTATGCTTTTTAATAAAATTTGTTAGTGTGAAAAAATTGCTCCCAAACTGCTTATGTATCTGAAGCATGTTGTCTGAGAACAACCTTTAGGTATGTGTAGTAGTATAAATTGGGCTGCTGATGATGTTACTGCCCATGTTACAGCCTATCATATTGCATAGAACTGGAAGAACAGGACTGAGCCCTGTGGCCTCAGAGTTGCCCACCTCCAGGGCAAGATGTTATTTTCACAGAAGTATCCGTAACAGATATTTTCAACTAAAGGTAGCCCTCAATTTATGACCACAATTGAGTCCCCCATTTCTGTTGTTAAATGAAACATTGGTTAAGTGAGTTTTACCCCATTTTATGCCACAGTTGTTAAGTGTAATACTGAAGTTGTTAAGTTAGTAACATGGTTGTTAAATGAAGCTGGCTTTCCCCATTGATTTTGCTTGTCAGAAGGTTACAGAAGGTGATTGTGTGACCCCAGGACCCTGCAACCGTCATAAACATGAGTCAGTTGTCAACTATCTGAATTTTGATCACGTGACCATGGGGATGCTGCAACAATCACAAGTGTGAAAAACAGTCATGAGTCACTTTTTTTCAATCCCATTGTAACTTTGAATGGTGACTAAATAAACTGTTAATGTTAAATTGAATTTGTAGGGCTAGTAGTGTGTGATGATGATTATTTGCATCAGCAGTGCACTGAGGCACTTGAGGGATGCAAGATTAGGGACTTAAGAGAGACTCCTAAGTACAAGCAGGCATGATAAAGCTATTGAAATGCTGGGAAGCTACTACTCATCACATTCTTGGTACAGTAATTTGGTACAGCATGGAACTAAAACCATGTGTGCCCAACTTATCTGTTGTTGGCAATTCCAACTTCTGTCTCTCCTATGATCATCAAGTCACCCAAGTATTAGTCCTGCTGCTATTTTGATCAGTGAATCCAGGCGGAGGAGCGCGCGAGAGGGCGGGGCTTGTGAGACCAGCTTGCCACGCCTCACACCCATAGACTCCAAAGACTTCCGTTACATGTGCGCAGGAACAAGAGGCATCGGAACGAAGAGGAGGGCAAAAGAGGAGCACTGTGACGCTTGAGGAGATTATAACTTCACCCCCCACCCGCCCCAGACCGAACCCCCAGATTACAGCGCGCGTGTTAAGAGCGCAGAGGGCAAAAGAAAGGAGGGGAGGAGTAAGACGGATGGATATAGCCACGGTTATGAGACTGCCCCCATAGACAAACAACCTACCGAACCACTCCAGGTTACCACCATATCCCAGCCAATCCAGAATATCACATATGACCACCTTGATGACAGTTGGGCATGAGGGGGAGGCATTAAGGATGAAAGGAAAAACATTCATAAAAGGGAACAGTTGTGTGGATGGCGATTGGGAAAAGGAGAAGGAGAAATGCATATTACCACTCAAACCCAATGGGGAGAATGGATTAAAGGATAGAGACGATCAGAGAGGTAGGGAGTTTACTCCACCTACCTTAGAATCCAAGGAAAGGAAGACAGATGAGGATATACACGTAATTAAGAGGAACAGGAAGAAACGAACTGCCAAAGTACAATTTAACCAATTAGGTCCGATGACGAGATCGAAGAGCCGGGCGCAGACTTCGGCTTGCTTATAAAAGACTCTCTCACTCCCTGGCGCTCTAGCCCTGATGATGCCAGCAGGTTGACAGCGAAAGTTTTTAAATTAAACTTTTTATAGTTTTATTACCTTGGTGTTCATTTTATCTTTGACATGAATATTCCCAGGGTTCATATTTTTAGTGTTATTAATATAGTTAATGTATATTAATCATATAATAATGTCAAATGTCTAGAATATTGTGGGGTCACATTACTAACTGTCCAGGACTGTGGATTGGACATATCTGCTGTAGTGCTTCAGGCAAATAATTTGCCCCCCCTACCACTAGCATATGCTATTTCTTTTAACGTCTCTTCTCCCTAAAACTTTAATTTTCTTTACAACCCATTTTTCTTTCTATTGAATAAACTATAGACATCTAATGCATAAGCTAATACATACATACTCTTGAATACATACTATATAAGTTTCATATGGTACAAAACACAGCAGGTCAGAGAGTTCTGGAGTCCCTTCAGGTAGCATATACATGTGAGAGCTGTATTGGTTGCCAGTCTGCTTCCAGGTCCAATTAAAGTGCTTGGAAGAATCTTTTCAGTTCTGCCGTTCGGAATATTCTCCTGCAGGAGATAAAGTCTGTCCCCACTCTCCTGGCCTGGGCTCTAGAAGCTGGCTAGGACCTCAGTATAGATACTCTATATGGGGCTGATTGATGGGTAGAGAGAAGATCCTTAACCCATGTCCCCTGTCCTCTTGGTCTCCAGCCTTTATTTAATAATTTTAACTATAATTGTTTTCTATTATCTTTTTATCATTTTTAAGCTTCTCAGAATCACTGTGACAATAAATGGGCAATATGCAAATCTAATAAATTATAAATAAGCTAACCATCCACAGCTATTTAATATCTAATATTATACTTTTGATTAAAATACCAACAAAATAAACAAGGCAGATTTTAAAATGGCAAATGCTAGCAACCTATTTAAAAACTTTTTTTAATTTAACAGGTGCATCTAATATGTTGAAAATATATAACACAATTTCATACAATATTTTTAAGAATTACTACTGCATATGTAATTATGTGAATTTGGATTTGGTTTGATTTTGGGTTTTTACTCCTAGTTCCTCCTCGTCCACTCCAAACTCTTCAGATGATGAATCTCTCTCTGAAGAGGAACTGGACAAGCTAAAAGAACAGGTAGAAGAAAAGAAAAAACTCATATCTATCATACGAAACAAACCCTGGCGCATGGCAAAGAAATTAACTGTGCTAAGGTACAATATCTTGATGATTACTGTTCACATGACTTCTAGGCATATAAGCATGAGTTTATGTAGGCATTCCATTCCATATTCGACAAAGATTATATTCTGTGGCTGTTGGTTGAACTTCCTATTACTAGTCAAAAGGCTTTGCTCCATGGTTGGCTTAAAAGTAAGTTTTTTTAAAAAATCCATGTAACTAGAAAACAGAAAACTAGAAATCAGTTCTTAGCTGATTTTATGCATTAATTAAAAATATAAACCTAAATGATTAGAATGGCTGTATTCTCTGTCCTTTTTGATTCTTGTTTTTTTTCCATAGGAATCAAGTGACTTTCAGCACTTTCACATGTTAATGTTTGTAAGACTTTAGACAAAACATATTGCTATGATTACTCATCTACTACATTTATTTAAGAGAATGATTTAATATGTCTGAAATCATTATGCCCTTCTCACAGTTACCCATCCTAGGTCAACTATTGTCTGGACTATTATAACGTGCTTTACATGGAGCTGACCTTGAAGAATATTTAGAAATTTCTGTTAGTTCAGAATGCAGTGGCCTGAACAGTTTTGCACAAATCTAGACTTACACGTGTCTCAATTCTTCTGCAATTGTTACCAATCTTGGTGATGACCCCTTCTTTAGGAAACATCACTACTCCTGAGGTATAGTTGACCTCCACTTTGTTGTTTTTCTAAAGGGCTCTAAAAAATGGTTTCGTCAGTGGGCCTGGGGACCATGAATGGAGATAGAACCAATCGTGACTGATTTGATTGGGTTGCTATTGCCTTAGGGAGTGAGAGAGGATAGCTTTTTTAATGGATTTTTATCATACAGTGGATTTTTCAATGGTGTAAACCACTTAGAGTCCCCTATGTGTGAGTTGGGCAGCTATATAAATTTGTTTAATAAATAAACAATAAATAAATAAATAAGAGCTCCTTCTCATAAAACAGAGAAACTGCATGGATGAAATTCAGCTTTAATTTCTGTCATTTCACCAAACTGAAAATAATGGTAAATGACCTGCTTCAGAGGGTTAGAGAAAGCAGTGCAGGGCTAGAAGAATTAATGATTTGACTCAGTACACGTACTAATTCATACAGACTAGATGTTGCTCAAGATTTGCTATAAAAAGACAAAGAGGAAAGTTGGTGCTATACAGAAAGCAAATCCAGGGTTTGGACACTAACAGATTAAAAAAGAATTCTGCAAAGGAAGTAAGATTTTGTAGTATATCTACCTATATCACAAATGTTACAGTTTTTCAATGCGTGACCTACTAGAAATTTTTCATAAGCTTATGGAATTATGGTTTTACAGTGATCTGTAGATACTGGAGAAAACTCAAGTGCCTGTAATGAAAACATATCATTCATTACAGCTATACATTTAACATCTCAATGTGAATAAATTAGGTGCAGTTTGCCAGCTGAACTAAACAGAAGATTAGATTAGATTAGATTAGATTAGATTAGATAATCTTTATTGTCATTTTTTACTGTGGGCACAACAGCACACATAAAAATGAAATTTAGTTGCTTGCTTCAAATTGTACATATACATAACACACATTTAAACATCCTATATACAACATACTGTATGTATAGACCTACACCCTAACATATATGTAACATATAAATATTAATCACTGACCAACTTGAATATATAATGGAAGGAGGAAGCTTTAGAGTTCACAAGGTTAATACTGTATGGAACAAAACTGTGACTGAATCTGGATATTCTGCTTCGGATACCACGGAGCCTCCTCCAAGAAGGTAACAAGGAAAACAGGTGGTGAAGAGGATGTGTAGTCTCCCAGACAATCTTACGGACCCTGCAGAGGCTTCTGGTTTGCAATTGCGGCGCTAGCGGACATGGGGAGCGATCGCTCCCTCTGCCGTCCAGTTTTCTCCTGCCTGAAAAGAGTCGAAGTCGTCCTGGAGGGGCGACGAGCATGAAGAGGACTCCCAAGTAATAGCAGAAGGGTGGCAGCCCTCCCATTTGATCCTGGGCAACTCTTCAAACTAACAGGGAAAAGATCAGCCATTAACATGGCAAGCCACTACCAGCCGAGACCAAAATTACTAACAAACACTTTGAAAGCACCGCGGGGGAATTGGGTGAGATCCTACCTTCTTTCTACCCCAAGTATTTTTCCTGTAAAAAGCCTCTGGAAATTTCTTCCCCCTTTGAGGAGAAATGGCGGCGTCTGACTACCTAGGAGAAAAAAGCCTTGAAAAGAACTATTAAATAATTGGATTTGCTTCTTTTTGATATTTTGGGACCCAAAAAGTTCCTACTTTCATGGGGATTTGCTACTCTATCTACTCGTAAAAAAGATGAAAAAGAACTTAAACTGGATAAAAACCTAGCCTGGGATTTGGAAAAAGATTTTAAATGCTATCAAGGACATCTTGTGTTGAAACTTGGTACAGCAAGTGAATATTCTTGACAAAAAGACCTGCTCAAAGCCCAGATCTGTCCTTGGTATTATCTAAAAGAGATTAAAAGCTGAGAGAAAAATTGTTTTTTAGGACTGTGGAGGTGAATACTTACTGATTCTCGTTTAATAAATAGCCTTCACTAAAGGACTATCTATAACCACATCAGAAATGGAGGAGGACCAGCAACAAATTTCACTTAACTACAAACTTATACTTGAAAAAATTCTTAAAGCTACTGAGATAATTAAAGCTAGACTGAAAGACAAAGGCACCAGCTTAAATCTATTGCAACCAAAGAACCTACAATTCAAAAAACAATAGAAGCAGAAGAAATTAATACCAAGACAGAGGACTTTAAAGAACAACAAGTACAATGTACTGAAAATCTAGACAACCAAACCCTGACTGCAACTAAAGAACTTACCACCCAAAAAACAACAGAAGCAGAAGAAAGTAATACCAAGATGGAGGGTACTAAAGATCAACAAGTACAGCCTACTGAAAACCTAGACAACCAAACAACAACCATAAAATTGGACATGACTTTTTATTTAGATTAGAAGAAACCTGAGGAAGAAGACCCGATTGAACTGAAGACAAATATGTTAGTGAAAATATGGGTATCTGGGCTACCAGGGCAACAACTTAACAACCATAAATGGGTCAAATCCTCTGGAAAATTGATAACTAGATGGTCTCCTTTGATTCAAGTAACACGTACAAGAATGAAGGGAGATCTATCTGATGATCTAAGGGCATTGGTATGGAAGCCTGGTTGGCATAAAAAGAAAGCTAGAGTTAGATTTTTAAAAGGGGGTCTTTTGATTTATTAGAGAAGATCCTAAAGTCTCAACTAATGGGCTAAAGGGAGATTTTGAGATGAGGGGAAATACGATTATTAGATTTATTGTTGGAAAATGATAAAAAAATTAAGGGATTAATTGGCCTAATATTGAAGATTTAGATTTATAAGGGAAATGAAAAGTAATTATTAGGGAATAGCTTCAAATTATTGTTTAGCCCAGATAACACAGACGATGGATTTGAGACAATGAAGGATACTCCATTAGGAAGTAGTGATGTACTAGGATGAGAAATAGAAAATGTTTATGAAATAAAATAAGATATTCAAGTAAGTAATAGGTGTATTATAGATATAATTTTTATATAGTGAAATAAAGGAAATTTGGGTTACCCGAAATTTAAATATTATGGATATTAAAGATTAAATTGGAATATGGTAATTAAAAATTAGGTAAAATTTAAATACAGGATATGGATATGTATAAGGAAAAATATAATGATAAATGTTTTACCTGAGCTTGTTATAATTAGAAATTTGTTAGCTTAAATATGATATAGCAAATGTTAAGGGAAATGGAGAAGGAATTTTTTGATGATGTAACCTGAGATATGTACTAAAGATTTTGTTATTGTACTATTGACTACCCAATCACCATGCTGCTTTCCAAATACTCAAATGTAAAAGTGGAAAACCAATAAAAACTTGTCATAAAAAAAAATCTTATGGACCCTGCTGAAGCAACGCTTATGTGCTTTGTCCTGGATGGAAAGGATCTTTTCAGCCATCCTCACCACTCTCTGAACAGAAGAAATTTGGTGAGGGTAACTTATCTATATATGATGAGAGGTCATCCTGAATCCAAACAGTAATTCACTAACAATATTGTATTATTAGATAGAAGTGATTAAATCAGTTTATAATGCAGACAGAAATTATCTTGGAGAAGGAATTTCAGATCTACTCTATTGTTACTTCAAATTTCTATAGTTGGACCATGAATCAGTTTTTATTTTATTTATTTATTTTTGTCAAATTTATTTGCTGCCCCTTTCTTGGTTCAAGACAATCCTGAGCAGCAGAATTAGCTTTGTGAGTTCAACCACAGTATTTTAATATTTGCAGTATACTATATTATGATTAATGCCAGAGTAAGTTTTAGAAGTCATTTTAACCAACTATTTCTGATGGGCAGGTATATTACATCACATTGTATCATACCATAATAGATAAGTATAATCTTTTTCATATATTTTTTTTACTTAGGGAGGCTCAAGATTTTGTAGAAAAATTTGAAGGTGCTTTGGGAAAGGGAAAAGGAAAAAAGTTGTATGCATATAAGATGATGTTGACAAAGGTAAGTGCTATAAGAATTTGGGTTGAGCAATTTTTTCCCATACTTATTACATCGGCATTGTTCATAACATGTTTATACTACTGAAATTTAGAAGTCTATACAATTTATATTAAAAATGAAAATACTGATACGAGTTTCAAAACCTAAAGTTCAATGTTTGGCAGACAGTAAATCTGAAAACTAACTTGGATAGATGCATCTCTTCCACTACATTCTCTAAACACTTCATTCTAAACACTTTGAAGTCTACTCTCTTCTTGTTAACAAAAGAAATGCAGTTGTGTGCAGATTACAAAGAGTGTTAAGACTAAATAAAACATAAAAGAACAGGTATGACTACAAGTTGTTCCTGCCTTTTTTTCCCACCTTTAATTATGTTGTTAATGAATCTTTTTTTAGCAGGAGTATGTACTGTAAGAAAGTTATTAATACCACTTTACAATGCCTTGGTAAGGCCACACTTGGAATATTGTATCCAGTTTTGGTCACCACGATGTAAAAAAGATGTTGAGACTCTAGAAAGAGTACATAGAAAAGCAACAAAGATGATTAGGGGACTGGAGGCTAAAGCATATAAGTAACGGCTGCTGCAATTGGGTATGTCTAATTTAATGAAGAGAAGGACATGATAGCAGTGTTCCAATATCTCAGCGGCTGCCACAAAGAAGAGGGAGTCAAGCTATTTCCCGAAGCTCCTGAAGGCAGGACAAGAAGCAATGGATGGACACTAATCAAGGAGAGAAGCAACTTAGAACTAAGGAGAAACTTCCTGACAGTTAGAACAATTAACCAGTGGAACAACCTGCCTCCAGAAGCAGTGAATACTCCAATACTAGAAGTTTTTAAGAAGAGACTGGACAGCCATTTGTCTGAAATGGTATAGGGTTTCCTGTCTGAGCAGGGGCTTGGACTAGATGACCTCCAAGGTCCCTTCCAACTTTATTATTATTGTTGTTGTTGTTGTTGTTATTATTAAAGCAATCTTTTAAAATCTTCTGAATATTTCTGACAATCATTTCCTTGCCCTGACATAAGGAAAAATAGGAAATTATATTAATTTTACAAGCTGAATAGCAGACATTAAGTAATACTTTATTTAGCCCTACATGTTCCCAATCATAATAGATATGTGGATTGGAGGTGAGGCAAAAGCTATTTCTTTTCCCAGCATTAGCAATAACATGGCAAAATCAAAATGCTGGGGAAATGCAGTATGTCAGCAAGATAAAGGCAGCCTTTCAGAAAGACAATTACATCCTCATTGCTACAACTGTTCTGGAAAAGAAAAAATGAATATGGGTTCATGCAGAACAACCTCTAAAGCCAAGTCCAGCCACAAAAACTGGAGAACTCATCCACTTTTGGCTATGTGGTCTATTATTAAAGGATCTGATGCAAATTTTACAGTGCCAGCTTTTGGGATGCCCAGAAGAGAAGTTTAGACTCCTTTTATAAGACAAAAGTAACAGAACTGGCCTACCTTGAAGAGTTGAAGAATTAAGAGTTAAAGAACTAATGGTTGTTACTCTCATAGTTCACTGAGCAGTCAGGTAGAGGTTTAGATTGGATTTGGCATTTTGACATTTTTAATCCCATTGTGTTCTTTCCGAGTATCTGGGATAGGCAGATATTGTATAATGGTATCATCGCAGGATGTGTGCTGTTCCAAATAAAGCTGCCATTTTGCAATTGACTGATGATGATTTTTATCAATGCAGATAGTATTCAAGTTGTGCTCCAGTGGGTTTGGAGGCAAGCTCAAAGGAGATCTGCGAGGCTGCTCCGAGGAAGGTCATCCCACTCCCTCCTCACAAGGAACACCTGGCTTGGTTTGACTTAAGCAGAGGCCAGGGGAGATTGTCTTAGTCAGGAACAATTGTTTTGCTTTGGCATGCACTTTCCCAGCCTTGGAAAAACTCTGCCTTGTATTGTGCTTCTGCTTGTGGAACTCAACCTTGCCCTGTGGACCTGGAAACTTGTGCACAACTTACAGACCTTGCTGTGTGTACCTATATCCTGTTTTGGGGCTTCCTCTCTTCTTTTGCTATTTGGCTCTGTTGGTTATAGGTTTTGTTTGTGGAACTGTGGGTGACTTCCTTCAGTGAAGTTTGGGGTGGACCTTTGCCAGCTGTTTCAGGGCAATTTGTTGTAGAATCAGCAGAGCAATAAAGGAATCAAAGCTTGTCTCTGCCTAGGTGAGCTGGGTCATAATAGAAAGTTTTGCTGCCTAGAATAGCATAGCAAATGGTGATTTTCTGTTTTGACAAGGCAAGATGCCAAATAACAACACTTTTTTTCCATTTGAGTTATACAATTTTTAAAGAAGCTCTCCCCTGTGTGGGTACGGAAAAAATAACAAAATCCTGCATAACTACTGTTCTCTGTAATTATGCAACTGTCAAGTTCATTTTTTAATGGTATTCTTGGAAAAACAAACAGAAAACATTTCTTCCTTCTGACCACTCAGAGGGACCAAGTTTAATTGAAATGCATCAGATTTAAAAACCCAGCACATCTTCAGTTTTCATATTTTTCACTAGCGTTTAAACTCTTTCCCAAGCATTTCCCAAGTCTTTCTTTACTTTAGCCTCCAATAAAAGCACATTTTGCTTTGTTTCTTTTCAGAAATGGGTAAAGTTTAAGAGAGATTTTGATAATTTTAAGACACAATGTATACCTTGGGAAATGAAGATAAAAGAAGTTGAAAGTAAGTAAACATTTTTCCACTTAACCTACATGTCTAAATATTATTCTGAATTCATAACACAAAACCAGTTGAGAATGGATGAAGGCAGGGCTTATATAAGTTGACAAACAGTCTTTGAGGCTGTGAGAAAATGTAAAGTAACCTGGAAGGAAATTATAAATCTGATTGAATCAGATTTCAGTTTCAGATGTTTGCTCCTTCTTCCTTCCCCAAAAGAACTTTGGAGAAAGAACTGAATGCGTAGTACTAGACATTGAGTCATATTTAAATTGATAATTCATTACATATCTATGCTGTTCTCTGGAAAATTCAGTTTCAGGACTTTTCTAATTGAAGCTTATTTATTTTTTAAGGTCATTTTGGTTCTTCGGTGGCATCTTATTTCATATTTCTGCGATGGATGTATGGCCTAAACCTGGTTCTGTTTGGCTTAATATTTGGACTAGTTATAATTCCAGAAGTAAGTATATACATTAAATAGTTAATCTGAGAAGTGTAGTTATCTACCCTATAAGTAGAATTATAGGTACCAGGTTTTTTGAGACTATATATATAAAATCACAATACATTTATCATTTCATACAACTATAATTTTAAACCTAATTTTTTTAGGGGAGATAATTTCTTTATCATGCTACTTACTTTTATTAAATCAATTGCCTATTTGCCAATGTCTGTGGCTGGCTTACAATGTCCAACATTGTAAAATGTAAAAGTAATCCTCTCCCTCCAAATTTGAAAAGATGGAAGAAAATACATATCACCCTAGATCAGAACTGTGGAAAGAAAAAACAGTAACATTTCATCGGTGTGTGTACATACATGTATCAAAATAAATGCCTTGTAAAACAATGCAAAATTATCTTTTACTGAAAATCAGAGCAGGACCTTTAAAAATGTTTCATGTAGAGAGGGAAAAGGATTGAGAGAGAAAGAGGAATCAGATGGATTATTCAATTCTGAACATATCTAAACAGAAACTTACCTTCTCTCTGGTGAAAGTGCTAAGGATCCTTGAAATGATGAAAGGATTTAAATTAAAAAATAAGCTCTCTCACACCATTTTCTCCAAAAGTACTGGAACGCAGTCCTTTGATCAAATCACCTTTATCTCTAATGGGAGAATGTTCATATTGCAAGCCAAGTGAAAAGTTATCCAAGCCAACATCTTATAGTTTCTCCCTATACTGTATGCCCCAATATGGCTAGATAATACAGCATATAACATGAAACTGGCATATTGAACCAGAATAGCTACTGTCTTTTAAAACATAGTCTGCTTTCCAAAGCTGTGTCCGTGATGTCTGGGCAATATAACGACTGAAGTTATTCTGACTCTGATATAAAACTCAGAAACTCAGGGAACAACTGAAGCTGGAGAGTCAGGAACAACAGCTGGAACTGAAGAATCAGGAACAACAGCTGGAAGTGAAGTGTCAGGAACAACAACTGGAAGTGAAGAATCAGGATACTCAAGAACTGAAGGGTCTGGAACCACCGGTGGAGTATTGAAGAGGGCTGCTACTGTTGTCGTTAGGGTGAGGACTTAATGTGTGAGTGTGGGTGTTTTTAACGACATGGAGTCCATGAAAGTCAGTAAGTCCTTGCAGGCTCCTATAAGGCCATAAAAAACAAAACAGAAACACAAGTTAAGATAGGCAAGAAAATCGTTAGGGAGCACCTGTCCAGCCTAGATGAGTTCAAATCACCAGGACCAGATGGATTACACCCCAGAGTTCTCAAGGAACTGGCAGATGTGATATCGGAGCCACTGAACTATATTTTTCAAAAATCCTGGAACACAGGGGAACTACCAGAGGACTGGAAAAGAGCTGATGTAGTTCCCATCCTCAAAAAAGGAAAAAAAATGGATCCAGGAAATTACAGACCTATCAGCCTGACCTCAATACCTGGGAAGATCCTGGAAAAGATAATCAAACAACGAATCAACAAACACCTAGAGGCAAACAAAGTCATTACTAAAAGCCAACATGGGTTTGTCAAAAATAAATCATGCCAGACAAATCTTATTGCATTCTTTGACCAAGTGACAAAATTAGTGGATCAGAGGAATGCTGTAGACATAATTTACTTGGACTTCAGTAAGGCATTTGATAAAGTAGATCACAACCTACTACTTGACAAGATAGAAAAATGTGGGGTAGACAGAACCACCACCAGATGGATCCGTAGCTGGCTGACCGGCCGTACTCAGCGAGTGGTCCTCAATGGAACTGCATCTATATGGAGGGAAGTGTGTAGTGGGGTGCCCCAGGGCTCTGTTCTGGGCCCAGTACTCTTCAACATCTTCATCAACGATTTGGATGAAGGGATAGATGGGGAACTCATCAAATTTGCAGACGACACCAAGCTGGCAGGAATAGCCAACACTCCAGAAGACAGGCTTAAGATACAGAAGGATCTGGACAGACTTGAACACTAGGCACTAACTAACAAAATGAAATTCAATGGTGAAAAAAGCAAGGTTCTACATTTAGGCAAGAAAAACCAAATGCACAAGTACAGCATAGGTGGCACCATGCTCAATAGTAGTAACTGTGAGAGGGACCTCGGAGTCCTAGTAGACAATCACTTAAATATGAGCCAGCAGTGTGCTGCAGCTGCCAAAAAGGCCAACACAGTGCTAGGCTGCATTAACAGAGGGATAGAATCAAGATCACGTGAAGTATTAATACCACTCTTCAATGCCTTGGTAAGGCCACACTTGGAATACTGCATCCAGTTTTGGTCACCACGATGTAAAAAAGATGTTGAGACTCTAGAAAGAGTACAGAGAAGAGCAACAAAGATGATTAGGGGACTGGAGGCTAAAACATATAAGGAACGGTTGCGAGAATTGGGTATGTCTAGTTTAACGAAGAGAAGGACAAGGGGGACATGATAGCAGTATTCCAATATCTCAGGGGCTGCCATAAAGAAGAGGGAATTAAGCTATTTTCCAAAGCACCTGAAGGCAGGACAAGAAGCAACGGGTGGAAACTCATCAAGGAGAGAAGCAACCTAGAACTAAGGAGAAACTTCCTGACAGTGAGAACAATTAATCAGTGGAACAGCTTGCCTCCAGAAGCAGTAAATGATCCAACACTGGAAGTTTTTAAGAAGAGACTGGACAGCCATTTGTCCGAAATGGTGTAGGGTTTCCTGCCCGAGCAGGGGGTTGGACTAGATGACCTCCAAGTTCCCTTCCAACTTTACTACTATTACTATTACTAAAGGCTAATTCTTGGGGTGCTAAGACAAGTGATCAAGATGATCAAAACTATGCCTAATTTCAGGTGTCTCCATTTAGACAGGGTTTTGAAGCGGATTGGTTGACATTTACTGGGTGTCTGAGGTTGAAGGTTGACACTTTGATCTGAAGCTGGAAGTGCGTAACATTTTGTTTTCTGTGGCATCTGTCTGTTTGGACAGACCAAGAACTCAAGACTTTCTAGCCAGATCAATTCTGTTAACTGTGTGGCGAGGTTTGGCCACTTCACTTGGTTAACAAAGTTCTTATTTGTTGGCACATGTTGCCATTGTTCAGAGCTTAAAGATGTTTCAATCCTTTTCTCTCTGTTGCTTACATAGAAGTGTCTGCTTTGTTTGCAGATGTAGCTTGACATCACCTTGCTGTCTGCATAGAAGGTGGTGGACTGTAGTTCAAGGCACAACGTCTTTGCTGTCAAATTAGTGAGCTTTACAGCTAAAGTGGTACCACATAGTTCTAACCTTGGTACTGTGTAGCCTTCTTGCTTTGTTAGTCTCGCTTTCCCTAAGAAGACACCAAGACTGCAGCACTCCCCGCTGTAGACTCTGATGCATCTTATGGTTGCAAACAAGGTAGCGTAAGTGTGGCTCTCCCCGCTATAGAGTGAGACGTATCTTAAGGCTGCAGTCACCTTCGTAGACACATCTAAGGAAGCATACAATTCTTTCTTCTGCATTGGGGCAGTTGAGCTGGAGACATACGTACGCTGCATTTGCATGCTTTGGATACTTCTTGGGAGTACGCTCCATGACTCCCAGTCTTGGAGACGTTGTTTGTCTTATTTGTCCTTCATGGACAAAGCTAAGTTGTTGTAATTCTTGCTTATCTGGAACACTGTTGCTTCCAAAACAGGTTTGGTTGTCACAAGCGTGCAGTGTTCTAGGTGCGGTTGGAACACTGTTGCTACCAAAACAGGTTTGGTTGTCACAAGCGTGTAGTGTTGTTCTAGGTGCGGTTGGAACACTATTGCCACCAAAACAGGTTTGGTTGTCACAAGCATGCAGTGATGTAGGTGTGGTTTTATAGGGTTCAATGGGGTGGCAACAGTGGGGAGATCTCGCGACCTAGGTATCGCAATTTCAACTCTGTGGCTGACTGCTGCATCTGGTCGTTGAGATTCCTCTGTTCGCCTACTCGGTCTTGGGGGGCTTGTGGCTGGTTGTGGTGCTCTCATATGTGCATTCTGGAATGTACTTTGGTTGTCCATGTAGGCCTGCACCCGGCTGTGAGGGCTTCCTCTTCCTAGCCCTTCCAATCTGTGTGTAGGTGTAGCGTCTTCCATCTCTCTCTGCAGAATCGATTCTATTTGGGCAGCCTCTTTTGCTTTCTGTTGTCGCTGGGAAATCTCATAGTCAGCCCAAAGTTTGACCATATCTTCCTTTTGCTGATGCCGTGCCTCTTCCACGTGACGGGCTGCTGCAGACTCCATCTTAGCCAGTTTCTCCTTTTGGTGCTTTTCTTCTACTGCTGCTTGGGCAGTGACTCCAGCCATTGCGGTATTAATTCGCGCTTCTGAGAGACAGGTGGCAAGGTTCTCTGCCCTTGAGACTCGAGATGCTTGGCTCTGGTGAGAAGATGCCTTTGAATGGCGGGAGGCTCCTGTGACATGTGATTATTGGGACACGCTGGAATATGCTTTGGATAGGTTGCTAAGGCAACAAATGGCTTTATTGCCTGTTTTGGGGGCCAGAAAGAAAGGGGGAATTGTCCTTTCTGAGCATTAAACAAAGCCACAGAAATTTGCTAAGGTTTGAATTTTCTAGCCGAGGAACTTTTCCAGCTTGCTCTGTTCGTTTAAAAAGATCAGACTCACACATATCAAAGCATCCCAAAACAAGCTAGTTGAATCCATGTGCTAACATCAAAACTCTTCAAGGCTTACTGGCTCCCTCGCTTTACAGGCATACTGAATTGAGTTCACAGACAATCTTTTGCAACCATCCCTCCTTTCTTCAAGACATTTTGCCTCGGCGGGGGAAGGGAGAAAGGGGACTGCTGCTTGAAATTCCTTTGCTTTAAAACGCTGGCTAGCAATGATTCCTTGCTGAGTTCTCAGCGAATTAACAAGACAATGCATCAAATCACACTTTGAAACGCTGTCCTTTACACAAACACACTGGCTTTGCTTGTAGGTTTTATTGGGAGACTGATCCCAGAGATTACTGTTGCGGCTTTGAGAGGAGAATTAA